GCACCAGCCCCCCCCCCCCCCCCCCCCGGCGCCTCCAGGTATCGGTACATGCCATGCCCCCAATGCTCGTCACCGCCCGAGGCTCTCGTTTGGGTCATGATGCAGCTCAGACGAGACGAGACGAGACGAGACGAGACACCAGACAGACTGTGGGAATATCCAGCGCTGCGGGAATATGTATGACAGCCACGCACGCCCACGCTCATGTCCGGCTCTGGCTCTGTCTGTGTCTCGTCTTGTCGCTCTTGTACGCGTCCGGTAAGGCCTTGGCCTGCAAAGTCCTGCATCTGCGTGTTAGCGCCCTGCCACGTCCGTACCGCCCATCTCGAATGGCTGCCATGGCCTCTTCAGCCTCGGCCGTCCAAACAATCGCCCATCCAAAGTCCGAGTCCCATGGAAGCAAGCCTTCTTGTCTCTTGTCGCTTGTCTCATCCGGGGCTCCTCCAACCAAACGTGTCCTCTTCTTTCCCCCTAGCCGTTGCATCACATCGCGTCGAAATAAAATAAGGGGAAAAAAAACCAAAAGTTGTTGGGCTTCACTGCAGCTGCATGCCGTGATATCACAAGCCGCCACGCTGCCTCAACTTGCATCGGCCGTCCAGCTGGAGGGTCCCGCTCGCCATCCTGGCCATAAGGGGTGCCACCTTGCAGCCCTGCCCGCATACAGGATCCAATTTTCCCTTCACCGGTCGCGCTGTAGTTTGTGATAGATGACCTATGGCCTGTGTCGGTTTCGGCCCCCCCAAAGGAAGAAGAAAAGCCCCCCCCCCCCCCATCACCAACATGCCCGTCTGGTCTCTGCTCTAGCCTTGACCCCTCCCTGGACCTGGAGAAAGCAAGTTCAAGTCGAACAGCCGTGGAGGCCCATGATTCTGATTCTGATTCCCCCCCTGGCCGATGCAGCCATCACTGTACAAGTACTTCACACACGTACCTTATGTATTCGTACTTGTGCTCGCTCCGTGCTCCGTTCCGCACAGCATCACGGCCTCATGTTGACAACCGCTCAAGCCCAAGTCTAGATAGAGTATTGAGAGAGAGGAGAGGGCCCTAGCGCTCGTCTTCTCCGCGTGCCCCAGTGGACACTAACTTTGCATGGTAACTCGTAGTCGCACATCAACCCGTTGCCATTGGTGCGTGCTTGTGACACTCCGTATAGGATGGGCGGACGGTAAGCCGCTTTGCTACCATTGAGCATCGATCCAGCCGATGCCTACTAATTTTGCCAATCACTCCATCCAGTACTATCAAATGACATGAACGGAACACCAAGAAAGCGATATGCGATACATACGGAGCTGTACTCCGCAGGTAGATTGGGACTGCTGCTAGGTATTCTATCCTCTTAGCAGACAACAGTACCCTGGTCAGCAGCTGAGCAGCATCAAGCCTTTGATACCTTATGATACTGCTCGCACTAGGTCAAACTACCTACCTAACATCACAAATGCCCTTTTTACGTGTATTTCCTCGCCTTCTTGCCTCATTCTTCCTCTCCTTCATGCACTCAAGTCGCCCGGCTAACAAGTAACAAAGAAGCAGCAAAAAAAGAAAAGAAAAGAAAGAAATCCCGAAGCGGAGCTGTGCCATTCCGGCTCAAGGCTAAAGAAACCTCCATCCCCCTCCAGCCCCGAACAACCGTGGAACATATTGGCTGTTTGGAGCGCCTCCATCAATGCCATGCGGCGCCAGTTTATCGCAAGCCTAACCAGTATATGGCAACGCCGCAATCATAATCATATACCAGGTACCTACATACCATACCATACCATACCTACGTGACAGGTACAGTTACAGTACATCCATGGCCCTTGCCCGCTCCCCCCAAAGGGCCCAGTCCCCCGTCCCGGCTTTTCGCGTACCCACGGGTTGCGTTGCCTTGGGAGCATGTGGGATGATGGGCTTTTTTGGCCTTGTCTGTCTGTCTGTGCGTCTCTCTGCGTGTCTCTTCCTCTCTGTGTGTCTCTTCCTCTCCGTCCGTCTACTGCATCTCTTTTTCCTTCATTCTTTTCCTTTGGTCCATGACATGGCCCCTACATATGACCGGACGCGGCAGTCTGCATGAGGGCATCAAGCTCCCCCATGTCATCATCCAAGGCTCATACACACACACACACTTTCAGAGGCGGGACCAAATTCCCAAAACGTAATACGATAATAAACTACTTGTACACAAGATAGATGGAAGCGACAACTCACTTGGGTGTGGGATGAATGAGCTTAGGTTCTCAAAATCACTTCCAATCTGCACCGTCCTCCGTTCGAAACCCCCTACGAGGCCGCTTCGCTCCTCGGGCTTATTTCGCGCCCCGTAATCCGTCCGTCATGTTTCTCTAGGCACTCTCTTTGCTCGGGTTGTCTTTTTACTTTCTTCAAAAGACCAGCCCAACTCCTACCTGTGATGGTCCTTTTTATCATAAATCCTTTTACTCTACTATAGTTTCTCCGCGGGTAATAGTAATCGAGCAATAAATTAGTCACGCTCCTCACTTCCTATTACAGTTGCAAAGGAATTATTTAAGACAGGATCTACAGTATTGTTACAGAGCAATAATGTAACCAAACCTTTCACTTCACTCTACTTGTATCTAGTACTACTACTACCTTAGAGGTAGTACTATACCTTATACCTCAGTACCTACCTTAGTACCTTTAAAGAACGTGGATGGCTTCCTTTTTTCTTCCCCTTCATTTTACAAATCCAACCACTGCGGCCTTTTTTCCCGCCCCAAACCGCGGAGAACATTCCCTAAACAAGAAAGCCTTTTTTTTTTTTTTTTTTACAGAGGTTGTCCTTGTCCTTGTATCTCGTCCCGCATATGTGACACATCACGCCCGCCCATGAACATCTTCTCTCTCTCTCATCTCTGCCTCGTTCACTCACTCACTCGTAGCGCATCTCACCTCGCCGAACTATCCACTTTCTCCAGAAACCCGCGGGTGAAAAAGCCCCGAGCGAGGCAGACTACGAAAACAAAAAATCCAAATAAGAAAATACCAAAAGAGAGGTGTCATCAATTCAGGAAAGCAGAAAAAAAAACCTCCCACGCTACGGAGTAATAACAGACACACACACACACACCCCTGCCTTACCCTACCTTATGTACTACCTTTTACACTTCTCTCTCTCTCTCTTGTTGCCACCCTGCTTTGTATGAGTTAGTATGTACGTCGATACCAAAACGGACAACCGCTGCTCCAGGTTCCAAACTATCCATTGCACAGCTACCCAAAAAAAGAGCTTCACACCAAAACAAAAGAAACCCCAGCGGTCCGTCTCATCCCGTTCCCGCCCGCCCGTTCTGTCACGTTCGCTAGTTATCCCCCCTTGCACTAGATATTCCCGTCATACACCCTACGGAAACATACTTTCAATAGTCTTCTTATGTGTAGGTAGTACCAGTAGTACATAATATCAAATTCTCAGTAACACTACTCGAAAAAAACTCCCAAACCTGCAAAACACCAGCATCGTATTTCCCTAGCGTTACAAGAAACAAAAAAAGCACCCTTTTCTCTCCTTCACACAATCAAGTCAGACGGGAACCCCCCCCCCCCCCCCCTAACCCTTTAACCCCCAAACTGACATCTCACATTACCCGCGCCTTTTGTCCTATCAACGCCCTCGCCCGCCGCAACGTGCGGGTTCCGCGCGCCTTTATTTATTATCATTTCATTTGTGAGATTTTTTTTTACCCAAATGGGAGGAGGGGGAAAGAAAGACGCCCGTGCAAACAAAAAACAAGCCCCCCCCCAAATAAGCCTACATTGCCTTACCCTGTGACACCAAGCCCAACCACTTACACTTACCGAGCTGCACGCCGTGACGCAGGTGTTATTACATTTGCTCGGCCCCGGAATAGGACGACTTACACGCGGCTTACGTGTAGCCCAAAGGGATAGCAAAAAGAGAAAAACAAATGGCAAATGAGATCAAGAACAGGGGGCGTGCCTTTACCAAAAGAGCTTCTGCTCGTATGCACTCGCACCACGCAGAGCAGCCCGGCAGGATGGCCATAAAGGCCCAACCGGGCTTCCCTTTTGCACCAATCTTGCAGCATCACGCGACTCAGCAAATCTTTCTCAGGCTCGTCTTTTCATTTGTCCATTCATATACCACTGGCTCTAATGCTTCGGCGTTTGGCCCCCACTACTTTGTAGTCTGCTTGCTTGGATGCCGTAACTTTCCCGCATATGGTGGCCATGTTGCCAGTAGTAGCATATGGTTTATTCCTTCTAATAGTGCTCGTACTAAGGTAGGTAGGTAGAGACTCTGCACAGTGCTCCAGAACAGCTGGTGGTATTCATTTTTCATCATTTTTTTGCTCTTTCTTTTTGCGGTTTGCTTGTAGCTGCCACGTGTGCGTGCAAAAGGCCATGCGTATAGTGCTCTGACGACATCGTATCTGCTGCAACCCCCACGCTCGCTCACATTCCGTGCCCAACGATTCACTCAGATACCGTTGACAAGCCTTCTCTCTCCTTTCAGAGCCAGCAGCTTCTCCAGTGCCTCATCCACAGGAATCAGCGCTCCCTTGCTCTGTGTGCTCTGGTCATCTCTGTTTCGGATGTTGACGGTGCGTGAGGAGGCCTCTTCGGCTCCGACGACTAAAAGAAGAAGTTGCTGTTAGTAAGTGGTTCACGTATTCCTAATCATCCTATATCTACATCTGTGCTGATAAGGGTTTGTGTGTGCTTACCAAAGATAAAGTTGTATTGCTCCAACTGGCCCGTGCGGATCTTCTTCTGGAAGGTGTTGCTGCTCAGGTCAACGTCGATGTAAATGCCCTTCTCCTGGAACGTCTGCTGAAGCTCCTTGGCGTACTCGTTTACAGCAGGCATCACAGGAACGACCAGGACCTGGCGGGGGCTCAGCCAGAACGGCCACTTGCCGGCGAAGTGCTCGGTAAGAATACCAAACATTCGCTCGAAGCTGCCCAGCACAGCTCTGTGGATCATGACGGGTCGGGCGTAGCCGACAGGCAGCTCGGGGTCGTTGCTGTCCTGGTTGGCACTGCTCTCGTCCTTGGCGGCAACGTAACGCAGCTTGAATCGCTGAGGCAGGTTGAAGTCGAGCTGGATCGTGCCGCACTGGTGCTCTCGTCGCAGAGCATCGTACACCGTAATGTCAATCTTGGGGCCGTAGAAAGCACCGTCACCAGGATTCTCCTCCCACTTGGAATCAATCTTCTCTGTAAAGTTGTCCAAAGCCTCCTTGAGCTTGCTCTCGGCCATATCCCAGATGGCAATCTCGCCGATGTACTTCTCTGGTCGGGTCGACAACTTCAGCTTGAAGGAGAAGCCAAACAGGCCGTAGACGGCGTACAGGAAGTCAAAGGCCCCCACAATCTCGTCACGGATCTGGTCGACCGTGCAGAAGATGTGAGCATCATCCTGCTGGAAGCGGCGCACACGGGTAAGTCCAGTGAGGGCACCAGAGAACTCGTTTCGGTGAAGAACACCAAAATCAGCCATCCTCCATGGCAGATCCTTGTAAGTGACGTCTGAGTGGGCAAAGATTCTACAGTGGCCAGGGCAGTTCATGGGCTTCAGGCCGTATGTCTCCTTCTCAACCTCAAAGGTGAACATGTTCTCGGCGTAATGTCCCCAGTGGCCCGATGTCTTCCACAGGTCAGACTTGTAAACGTTGGGGCTGATGACTTCGTCGAATGCTCTCTTCTTGTACTCGCCACGGATCAGCTCCATCAAGGCATTGTAGATTCTTGTGCCGTGGGGCAAGAAGAATGTAGAACCAGGTGAAACCTCGTCGAAGAAGAAGAGCTTCTGCTCCAGACCAATCTTTCGGTGGTTGCGCTTGGCTGCTTCCTCGAGGAATGTCTTGTACTCTTCGAGTTGCTTCTTATCGGGGAATGAGACACCAGAAATTCTCTGGACGGACTCGTTGGCACTGTTGCCAAGCCAGTATGCGGCAGAGTTCTGACAAAAGAATTAGCAAACCCATAATCTAAACGGCTGACTACTGGACTGGCAAGAATCTCACCTTGAGAACTGAAAATGCCTTGATGTTTCCAGTGGTGGGGACGTGAGGGCCTCTGCAAAGATCGATGAGAGGGCCGCATCGGTAGACTGTGCTCGTGGTGCCGTCGGGAACACGCTGGTTGATAAAGTACTCCTTGTATTTGCTGTAGTTGAACATCTCAAGGAGCTCATCCTTGGTCATTTCTAGACGCTCGAAGGGCTGCTTCTCCTTGATGATGGAGTTGGCCAGCGTCTCCAAGGCCTTCTTGTCTTCCTCCTGCACGACTTGGCTAGAGGGAGCGGTTAGCAAACTTGCTTCCATGTTTTCAGAGACCCAAGGAAGATTCCTTACCCCTCCATGTTGGCCATATCGTAGTAGAATCCGGGAGGGTCGGTGGTGGGGGGACCGTTACAGAGGTAGCAGCCAAATCGCTTCTCAGCAGCCTCGCCGAGAACGTGTGCTGAAGAGTGCCAGAAGACCTTCTTGCCTATCCCCCCAGATCAGTCAGCGCCATGCGATTCTATATTAAAACCCCCAACATAATTGATAGAGTTTCTCGCCGCAACGTACCCTCCTCGTGTTCAAAGTCAATCAGCTCGAGCTTGCAGCTCTTCTCAAGGGGTCTCGTAAGATCCCAGAGCTCGCCATCAACCATGGAGATGACGGTGCGCTCGAACAAGGACTTGGAAATGCCCCTGGCAATGGCTCCAGGAGTGGTCTCCCAAGCGATACCCTTCTCCTCCTTGCCATTGGGCATGGAGATGGTGATTTCCTCGCGAGGCTTGGCTGCAAAAGACACATTCGTTAGCACCTCCCACATATACATGACAGCGAATATCCTGTGCGAAAACGAACCAGCAGCCTCGGCGTCGCGCTTGGCCTTGATCTTGTCGAAGATGGCGATACGGTGTTGAATGAATTCTGGGAGAACCGGCAGCTACAATAGCAAGATCTATATTAGCACGAATTGTTTCTTTGCAAAACGAAAAGAGTCGAGTCGAGACGAGTCGAGGCCAACAAACCTCGAGTGAAGCCTTTCCACCGCCGGCCTTCTTCTCCTTGGGCTGCTTCGCGGGCCGTGAAGGAAGGTTCTGGGCGGGAGCGCCCTCGGCCGCCTTGGGGGCATCAACTTGCTCGGAAGACATGGCGATATTCCTTTCTCGTTGCGAATGGCGTTGAAGAAGGCTGCTGTTTGGCCTTTCGAATGGAGGGGCAGGAATACCCTTAGTTTAGTACTTTATCGTTAGGCGCGAGGTGGGGTTGACTCACAATCAAAGTTGCACGCGGGAGATCCTCGGACTCTTTTTTAGCCAGGGGGGCTATTGAGTCAAAGGCGCAGTGTAAACGCAGCCCCTACAGCTATCTTCTGCTACGGATATAATCAACTACATCCGACACTCGCAGTCTATATTAATTTTAACTTTCATGGTGCAATTTCTTTTTAATCTGTAGGATTCGTTGCCCAATTCCTGAGTCACCATACGTCTACACCTGACGTGAGCTGGGCCGGATATCGGAGCCACCAGGATGAAGACATGGAGGATAAGACTCATAGACAATCAAGTAAGCATCAACTGAGTGTGAATTCCTCGTTCCAAATAGACTGGGTATCAGTGCCACGCTTTCCTATGCCAAAAACTCCGTCCAAAACGCCGTGGAATGCAATCCCAAAACCGTCATATCATAGCCTCGCTCCTCAGTTGTCGACCATGACCTCGTCAAAATCTGACAAGATGCATCCCTACATCTTCCAATCTCCAATCAACCATCATTTCAAAGGGCGGCAGTGCCTCATAGCCCATATCTGGTCACACATTCCTCTCTATGCGTCTCCATACAGTCCAATGCGCAAACTCTCGTGCCGCACTTCATGCACCGCACCCGTCCCCAATATCCGCAAACTTCGCAGAAGACACGTGTGGGGTAGTTGTCCTCCCATTTGCCTCTGGCCTCGTAGTATGTGAGCGGTGGGTGAGCCAGCAGCTTCCTTAGTTCCTCATCCGATGGCACTTCGGGCATACGAGATACCAGGAGCGGATCGTTGTCGCCAGGATGCGCAGTTGGTGGCGGCCTGTACGATCCTACCAATACCGGGGGCAGGTTTGCATCCGCCATTGTCACATCTTCTTCTTGTATGCCCGACGACGGCTTGGTAGTCGCAGTAGGTGTGGCAGTAGCGTCTCGTTTGCCGGCTGGACGTTTGGCGTTGGTGTTGGTAGGCCGATTATTGCTCGCCGCAGTTGGGCCGCCCTCAGCCTGTGCCTGCAGAGCCAGGAAGTCGTCCAGGTGGTTTGAAAACGTCTTTTGCGACTGTAAGATCTTTCGAACGTTTGGCGTGTACTTTCCAGTAGCTACAAACACAACATCTGATGAGCCTCTGAAATCCCCCCTCTGATATGTGCACCGAGCGTGTCTACGCACCTTTGCTGCTCTTTGCAGGTATCGAAATCGAATTGTCCTTGCCCCCATCTCTCTCCAGCGCTTCGATTTCTTTCCGGATCTTGGCCTCCTGCCGCGCCGTCAAGTCGCCGGCCGTCACGCCCGCGGGCGCATTGCGAGCTCGCTTCCGGTTTGCCGGCTGTAGAGCGTTGGCTCCAGGCAGGGCGCCGGTATCAGGAACGTAGGCCCATCCGGGGGCCGAAGTCGTTTTGGCGCTGGCGAGCTCGATGACGCCAAAGTTGTTCATGTCGCGTCGTGTGTGCTCGGTCTCGGTAGTGGGTAGAGAGAGTCTTGGGAGAAGAAAGCAAATAGAAAATGGCAAGCTCCGGATGAACGCAATGGCCTCACAGGACACAAATCAAGCCCTCAGGGCAGCATCCCGTCGCATTCAAGAGAAAATCGTAATGCTCAATCAAATCAATTGGAAATCTTGACGAAAAACAGCCGGCTGCAAGATGCAAGTCAAGGGTTACATCAACTAACCCGTGGGGCAAAAACTGTCAGTGGCGACAGCTCTAGCTCTTCGGGCCATCCTGCGCCGGAACAACCCGTAATCCGCCATGTCCGCAAAGCTGGGCACGTCTTCGCTATGATATAGTGCTAGGTAGCATCATCAATCCCTCTCAAGCTGCAAGAACTCCAAAGACGTTTGGTCCAGCAACCATAAAATCCAAACTCATGTGAGCTCCCAATTCCCCCATAGCAGCGAAACTCGACTCCAAGTTCTCATCCTGTCCCTTCTAGTGTCCCCTCCACCACGAAACCAAAGCAACCTCTCCTCCCTCGCCACACAGCCCGCAATGCTCACACCAGCATCGTCAAGAATACTCGCGCGTGCGCTTTCGTCGCGCAGCTTCCACGCCTCGGCTCGGCGTCTGAACGACTCTGCCCCCCTGCCTGCGCGGAAGCCCATGGGCGCCTTCAGAGGAGGGTATGTTCTTAGCTGCGATGCGGTTGCAATTGCAAGCTTGCTAACCCGGAACCCAGTCTTTTCGGCTTCTTGTTTGGCAGCGTCCTGGCCGGCGGTGCCGTCTACAGCTACGTCCTTCAGGAGTACAAGGCATCCAACGAGTTGCTTACCGAGGATATCTACGTATGTCTACCTGCCCAACGAGCTTATCTTAATCTTTAGTTCTTGGGATGCCTCGTGGTTACTGAGCTCTTACTCTCCCACTTCCTCCCTACCTTTCTTACAGCCTCGGAGCACATTATGAAATCGAAAAGCTTTGCTAATAAAACCATTGACCAGACTCTGCAAGCTTCCGTCACCCGACTGACTAACCACGTCAAGATTCTCGAGGAGAAGATCCAGCAGAAGAGAAAGTAAAAGCTCAAAATGATAAAAACACAAATAGCGCAATGTCATTAGGGATGATATGATACCAGTGCTTTAACGCTGGTGGAAAATACTGGGCAAACGAACAGCATAATGGCAATACTTGTGTCCTTGTTTGTAACAACCTACCTTAGTACCTAACAAAGCTTGTAAATTGTACCTTACGTATCTAGCCTCTGACATATCTAGCACACGGAACTGCAAAGGAAAAGAAAAGCCTCCTCCTACATTTCTCTACTAAACTCTCACGACCATCACGATTGCCAAAAAAAAAATGGTGCATTTATTGGACGCAATATCTTGTTTAAAGTTGATCAATTCCGAGTGCTCACATCAAAGCAATGCTTCAAATGGGCGTAGAGCCAGTATGCAATTGCTAGTAGGTATTTAGATAGTCCATAAACCAGCGCCGACGATTTTCGTCATGAAGCAAATCCCACAATTATACAGTTTTTTGTTATTTCATTTTCCATTTTTTGATTTCTTTACAGCTCGTCGTGGTCGTCGCCCTTGGCCTCCTCAGTGGCCTCGGGGGCAGCCTCAGTGGCCTCGACGGGGACCTCGACAGAGGCCTTGTACTTGCCGTTCTCCTTGATGAAGTCGACGAAGTCCTCAACAGTGCGGGCACCGCTGTAGGTGACGGGGTTGGCCTTGTCGCCGGCGGGGTAGAGCTTGATGGTGGGGAAGCCCTGGATCTCATCAGGGACATCGTTGTTGGTGGCGTCGACCTTGGCAACGACAACCTTGTCCTTGAACTCGCTGTTGGCATACAGGCTGGCGAGCTCCTCATACTTGGGGGCAAGAGCCTTGCAGTGACCGCACCAGGGAGCGTAGAACTCAATCAGGACATCCTTGGTGTCGTCAAGGACGACGTCCTTGTAGGTGTGGGCAACGACAACGGTGACGGGACCCTCCTGGGTCTCGGGGATGGGTTCAGACTTGATGCTGGGCTCGATCTTGCCAGAGGAGAAGTTGTCAACAAACTTGGCAATGTCCTTCTCGTTGATCTCCTTCTCCTGGTCAAAGGGGAACTTGAGGTTCTTCTCAATGTCGTGGATGGCAAAGGCGGGGAACTTGTCGGTCTTGAGGTTGATGTTGGCGGCGTGAGAACCAAAGTTCTTGGCGTCAATGGTGGCGAAGTTGATCTTGCCCTTGTACTTCTCGGCGATGGGCTTCAGGGACTTGCTGAGCTCGTCACGCTCCTCAGGGGTCTCGGCGAAGATGTAAGCCAGGGGGATACCGGCAGACATGTATCCGGCATAGGTCTCAGGGCCGACCTCGCCAACAAGGGGAGTGGCAGCGACCTTGGCGAAGGATCGGATAGCCTCAGCGTCAAACTTCTCGCTGAAGACGTTCTTGCCCTCGTCAAAGGACTTGTAGAGGACGACGGAGGGGAACTCGACGCCCTCAGCCTTGGCAACGGCAGCATCGTTGATACCACCGAAGAGGTAGGTGTCACGCAGCTCGTTGGCGACGGCAGTGAAGGTCTCGTTGGAGGCCTTGTCATCGGCGGCAATGTAGGCGACCAGGACAACCTTGTCGGCAGTCTTGAACTCCTCGAGAGTGTCCTTTGACAGGACGGAAACGGCAGGCAGGGACTGCTTCACCATGTAGGAGGTGATGCTAGAGAAGAGAAACAGATGTTAGCCATCTAGATATACAGATGGATGCGAATTTTGCATGGATCTCTTACCCGTCAGCCTTGCGGGGACCAGTGTAGGGAGAGACGATGTCAAGACCACGGAAGACCTTGAGGGTAGGGTAGCCCTCAACGCCGTGGTCCTTGCAGAGATCGGCCTCATCAACGCAATCGACCTTGGCAAGCTTGATGTTCTTCTCCTTGAGAGTGGTGGCAGCCTCCTCGTACTCGGGGGCGAGAGCCTTGCAGTGGCCACACCAGGGAGCGAAGACTGGGAAAATGTCATGTTAGCGGGGTCTAATCTGACGCCGAGGCTCGCGGGGGAGGGGTCAAGAGCAATGGCAACGTTGGAAGCCATCAACGAAGCAAGCAAGCAAGCAAAGATTGAGGACGGGAGAGAGACATACACTCAGCCAGGACGAGATCATTGGAGTTGATGAAGTCGTTGAAGGTGTCCTTGGTCAGGGAAGTGACGTCGGAGTCGGCAGAGACCACCGTGGCCAGGGCGGCCAACAGGGCAGCAGTGAGGCGCTTCTGTTGCATGGCGAAGGCTGTGATGGGGGTATCAGGGGAAAAAAGGAAGTGGAAAAGAAAAAAAAGTGGTGATGCAAGATGGAAGATCTAGTTGCCAGAAGACGGATGAGGCGCCAGGTTTTGTAGTAGGCAAAGACTGGATGACTTAGACGCACTCAATTGAACAAGTGTCCCTTTGGACAGATCTGGCTGTTGCTAATGGGTTCAGCCGGGTCCCTGAACCACACCTTGTGTAGCCTAAAACTGGGGCCCCTCTCCCCTCAGCGTCCACTAACGCGCCCACTAAGGAAGGCCGCTACAGCGCATCCTCCAGGTCAGGTTGTTTTGCCTGACCGGGTTGCCACCTGACAAATCCAACGGAAGTCAAGTTTGCTGATTTTGTGATGAGTCTTGCACTGTTTCAGGGCCGATTACTATTCAATCATTTTCCCCTTTTGCGCCTGGGGCCGTGCTAGACGACATTGCCCAAGGGGAAACACAGCACGGGGGGGCACTGAAGGGGACTGGCCACCTCGCCTCAAGTCAAGTTTGTTGGCATGATACATGATGTGCCTGGGCGTGTTGCGCTATGACGGCAGCTACCTGCATGTACTCCATAACAGATGCCCCTCTGCTATTCAAGTCTGCTGCAGCCCATAGAGGTCCAAGCAGCGCCAAGCGGCACGGTGAGTGGGCGGCCAGCGCTAAGCCCCTGCACGATAGCCTCACTGCTATGGCAGCCGCCAATAGCGGTTAGTGCTGCGCCGCAGGGTGTTTTAGACAAGAGGCAATAAATCAGCAGGGCGGCTGGGGATACAAGCAAGAATAAGCATAACCAGACGGGAGCAAAGTAGCATGTACTCGTGAATGCACCTGTATTGATGCTACGGGCACACGTTACTTGTACTCTGCGCGAGGAGTACGAGGTCGTATGAGCCGTGTAAACCTCCATGTTAGCTGGTGGCTGGCCTTTTTACAGAACAGGACAGCCTGGAATCTGCGTGTCTCTGGGAGCCGCCCTTGTGATACAAATGGGCAGATATCTGTATCCAATGCCATCCAAATATCGATTTGTCTTCTATCAATTCTCAAACAAATGTCAATCTACTTACTTGGGTACTTTTCACGACATATCTGCCAAGAGGACAGACGTCAAAAAAAGGGAGCGGCAATTGGCCATTGATCCCCGCCCACTGACCCGGACGTCTCCAGCCCCACGTTGGACAGGATCGAAAGAGCCGGCCTGGCACAAGAATTCTCTCCCGTACGAGTACCTGAACCAATATATTCGTACAAGGGATATTGTGGCTATATTGGACTCATACAGGCAGTAAATTTCATCTCCCAGCTTGACGGGGTACTAACGTGATATTATCCTGGCCACCTCTCCGTTGAAGGGTTCATCCCGGGGGTTAAATGCGCGGCTCATGCAGGCGCACCTTAACCGAATGTCCGATGCATGGCAAAGTGCTACCTGTCCAGATCTCATGCCATCTGGTCGTTGATAACCAGCAGAGGACACGAAGCCTTGGTTGGGAGAAGAAAGCCAATCGAGTAGACATTGCATTGCAAAGATTGGGGCTATTACGCTCGTGTAGAAGACAATAATGGCTTCACATAGTGCTGATGCCGTACTCGCTGTATGTATAAGGAAAAAAGTAAATTCAACCCAAAAACTTAGAATCAAAGAGCCCATCATCCATCTACTCCGGCAATATATCGCTTTAAACCCTGTGTCCATCTATGCCCTGATTTTTCTATCCCCTCCCCTCTTCTCTGTCACCAACAACCTAAAACTTCTTGCTAAAGTCCGTTCGGGGTCCGGCTCTGGAATACTGGTTCGCCCACTTGACGGGCACCTTGAGCTCGTGAGCTACCCTCAGTACCCACTCGGGCTCTCGCAGGAACTGTCGTGCGACCAAAGCCAGCTCGGCCGCAGCCTCGGGGCCCTCCTGGACGACGTCGTAGGCCGTCTGGGCGTTGTTGATGTTGCCCACGGCGCCGACAATCAAGTCGATGCCGTCTGCGCGGAGGGCCTTGCGAATCTGGCGCGCGATGTTGACCTGGAAAAGAGGGTCGTCGGGGAGCTTTTGCTGGGAGTTGTTGGCGGCGGAGCTGACGTCGAGGATGTCGACGCCCCATGAGGGCACCAGCTTGGCGAGCTTGATGGTATCCTCGACGGTCCACGACGGCTGACCGGCCCATTCCATCCATTCGGTGGCGGAAAGACGCAGCGAGAGCGGCATGTCGGCGGGGATCACGGCGCGGACAGCCTCGACGACTTCACGGGCGAAGCGGGTGCGGTTCTCAAAGCTACCGCCGTACTCGTCGGTACGTTGCTATACGATTGTAAGTCATTCAACATGAACGATGCAGTATTCTCAATGTCTTGGTGAACTCACGTTGCTCAGGGGCGACAGGAAGCTGCAGGCGAGGTAGCCATGAGCGCCGTGGACCTCAACGAGATCGACTCCGGCCTTGACAGCACGCTGCGCAGTCTCGGCAAACTTCTGCACAATGCTCTTAATCTCAGCCTTGGTCAATTCCTTGGGAAGGGCGCTGCCTTCGTCGAACGGGATGGCGCTGGGGCCGACGACGTCGTTGGGCCATCCGCCAACATCCTCCTCAGCCAGAGTCTTGTTCGCAGTGCCACCGATCCAAGGCGCCAGGGTGCTCGCCTTGCGGCCGGCGTGGGCAATCTGGATGCCGATCTTGGAGCCCTGGCTGTGGACGAAATCGACGACCCGCTTCAGAGGTGCAATCTGCGAGTCCTGCCACAGACCGGAGTCCTGGGGCGAGATGCGGCCGCGGGGCTCGACGGCCGTGGCCTCGACGATGATGAGGCCGGTGCCGTGAAGCGCCAGCTGGCCCAGGTGCACCAGGTGATAGTCAGTCAAGTGGCCGTCGTCGGCGCTGTACTGGCACATGGGGGCCACCACCACGCGGTTGTGCAGCTCGAGGGAGCGGATCTTGATGGGCTGGAACAGCGTCGGTGCTGAGTCCTTGTTGAGAGGGGTTCCCACCAACGGGTTCTGAGCTGGGGTGTAAAAGGGCACGCCTGGAGCGGCCGTGTTCTCGGTGCTGACGCTGATGCTGCCCATGTTGGAGTTGTGTGTGTAGTATATATGTATGTGATGGATTCAAAGATTTGAGCTGCTGTTTCGTGAGTGCTTGAAAGCCCCGTTCGAGAGGTGGTCTAACTCGATAGTCTGGATAGCGGATAAGCATGGGTTTCGAGGGTTCGGCGATCAACAAGTCCGTAGACACTACTATTTGCGTACCTATAGACGAATCAGGCGATCAAGGCAAAGGAAGATGGCGAGGAATTCTCCAATGTAAATGCTGCTGCTGGTTCTACTTCCAGAGACTCATCTACCTCGTCGTGTCCTTGGCCAGACTTTATATACCCATCTCCAAAAGATGCATGGCTCGCGCAATGCTCGGTATCGGGCCAATCCAAGCACATCATCAACCAAACGACCCAGAAACGTCTCCATACCTCCCAATGATACGTTTATTCCGGGCCTCGCGCCATCTCTCGGCATCCAACAATCTCCAACCCTCATTTACCTGCCCAGACGGGCATTAGTCATCGCTCCTATTATGGTGTTGCCCCAGCTATCGTGGCCCGGTTTTCTCATCCCTCCTACTAGTCAGTGAGATCGCAATCCCACATAGCAACAGCCTGGAAAGGAAAATGCAAGAGGGGTTGCTGAATAATTCAACCTTGATTTGATAATGAGGGCGCGGCCAGAGTTGCCCATGGCCTTAGTCGGGCAATTTTTTTCTCAGCCTAGGCGGCCGTAACCCGGCTTTTGGCGCATGCAAGTTTTCCCGAAACCCCATGGATCGGATCCTGATTTGACGTTTTCTCGGCCGTCACTCCGCACCATCTCCTGCAGTTTTGTGCCTGTTCTGTGTCTTCTTCTCCAGTCTTCTATGCTTATCCCTCCCTCGGCCTATCCGCCTATCCGCCCTCCTTCGCTCTCGCTTTCTAGAGCCTAGGAATTCCTTCGTTCTCGTTTTCGACACGGCAACATCCGCGTTTTAGGCGTTAAAGCTGCTCCAGCCACAACAGCAGCGGACTTAAATCCTAAGAGACGCATCCTTGTCTGTGATTGGCCATTACGACTATCCTGTTCATTAATAATGACACTCGTGCGTATTCTCCCTTGACTTGGAGAGGCATGCAATTTGTTTCCGGTTCATCTTCGCTCGCGTTTCGGAGCGAAAAGAATTCGACCGATATAAGCACTTTGCCTGGTGAGCCGGGCCTGTTGGTTAAATGGGATCGGGTGTAGATGTGATCAGTAAGAGTCTATTCTACTGTATTACAGCTGCCACACAGACTTGCCTCGCCACGATGAGATGATTCGTACACGAGATTACGTGCTCCCATCAACTCCTCACGGTCCGTATCGTTGCATCGATCCTCTATCTAGGCAAATTTTTTCCATGAAAAGTAATAGGTAGCAAGTGCTCTCGCTCGTAGTTATCAAGTCTGGAGTTGGAATCACGCAAAAAACATGTCGAAATGAACATTAGTTATAAGCAGGTCAGCTCATCTTCGTCTTACAAATACCAACAGCAAAGCTCTTCCAAATTCCCCCAGACGTTTGCCAGCCACGGTCAGCGAATCAAATCCAGCCTCCTCCCCCGTCATCTCAAAGCCGGATCGTCGCATCCCATCTCCAAAATAGACACCAATCCCTGCCTATTTACCCAAACAATAAAAAAAAAGTCCATTAGAAGCCATATGCGTAGCAATTCAATATCAAGCTATATTTGCCTATCAAACAGTATTCAACTTCTACAGCTCCAGGCTGATCCTCGGCTCATCTCCATACAAGATTTCAACCCCGACAAATGAAATCTGGACAATAAGCTTCTCCCTGCCTTTTGGCTTGAAAGTGCGGGGAACCATGTACTTCACCCGCCAGAAGCCTGGCATCCAGCCAATAGCAACAGGACAAAGGCAAGCATCGGCCTCAATTGTCACGGCGGAAAGCCGGATAGGATGCTCCGTGGTCATAGTAGTACATGTCAGAGCCAAGGCAGCATTGCGAGTCACCTCCTCATTTCTTCAGTAAACAATTTGCGTCTTCTGCTCCTTGCCGTCGCCTCACTACAGCATCACATCTCGAAGTACCGCCCAATCATCAACAGTCACCAGTTTCAGACATCATCATGGAGCATGGCATCATGAAAAGCTCATCTTGTTTGTTAAAGTACAGGGTGTTTGGCTGAGGTATAGAACGTTACAAAAGAAAACCCAGACAAGCCAGCCCCCAAAAAGCAGTTTGTGAAGAAAGAGCGATAAAATCCATTCCAAGCTTCCGAGCTTGTCGTCCAACTATCTTTTTTGTTTGAACCCTAGCTGACTAAACGGCTTCATACCGTAAGAGGGCCCTACATGTCTAAAAAATATTCACAAGTCTATCAACCGCGCTCCTTATTGACAACGCTAGTCTTCTTCTATGCACCATCCTACATCACCTTGTTCACCATGGATGTGAATTTGGAAGCTTAAGCGTGGGTGGGCTTGAAGGTCCATCGGCTGTTCTCGCTGCCCTCGGCAAAGGGGACACCGAGCTCAAACAGGCGGAGAACGACGGCGGAAAAGTCCTGGAAGAACAGGTCGTTGTCGGCAGCGTACTTCTCAACCCAAGGTCTGAAGGCCTTGTCGGTGGTCAGGACGTGGTCGGTGGGGAGCATCATAAGAGTCTTGGTGCCCTTGTCTTCGAGCTGCTTGGGGCCGTCCCACTTCTTGTACTGCCACTTCTCCTCCAGCAGGAGCTTGTAGAAGTCGTTGGTCAGCATGGTGGGAGAAAAGGTCCAAGGGCCCTCGTAACCAGATCGGTTGGAGTGGCATCGGCCAAGGGCGTGACCACCGCTGAGGGCGACAATCTCCTGGTCATTGAAGCCCATGCGGTAGAAGATGTCACGGAGGTGCTTGGCGCCCTGGCTGGCGTCGGGGAGACGGCCATCGGGGGTGCAAGCAGCAGCCTCACCATCGCGGCGGCCAGGTCGGTAGGGGACAATGGGGCCGTGCATCTCCTGGATGGCGCAGACACCGCCGAGGATCCAGAGATCAGAGTAGGTGATCCAGGGGTACTTGGCTACAGGCTGATTGTTATAACTCGACTTGACACCCAAGGTTGCACAAATGATGGAGAAACTCACCCTTGATAGGCTCGAGGAAATCACGGGCAGCAATCAGACCAGCGTTGGCACCGTGGCTGCTCTCGGGAGCGAATCGCATGGTAGCACCGTTACTGCCACCAGTCTTGGTCTCCTTGTCGTAGGTACCGCTGGCGTGCCATGCAAGACGGACCAGGACGGGGCCGTAGCTGCCATCGTCGTAATCGGCCTCGAGACGCTCGGCGATGTCGTTGTAGACCTTTTGGTAATCGGCCTGGGTGGGAACAAAGGTCTTGGAAGAGGCAGAGGCACCAGAGGTGAAGAACCAGATGCCGAGACCACCCGCGGCGGCAGCAGCACCAAGGTACAGGAGAGAGGAGGACGACTTCTTCTCGGGCTCAGAAGAGTAGAAGCGGCGGCCCTGCTGGCGGAAAGCCTGTCGAGGGGCGGCAACGAAGGAGCGAGTGGTTGTGCGGGTTGCCACGCGGGCAAACTGACGGGCAGAAGAGGCCATCTGAACAAGGACACGACGGAAACGTTAGCAAAGGCGTGAACGAGCAAACGAGCGGGAGGGTTGGTTGGTTATATGGGCAGATAAGGCCAGCTTGGTGGTCAAGAGCCCAAAGACGCCTATCAGAGTGGAAGCGAGCCTGAAGATCACGCCTCTCTTTTAACAAGGAAGGAGAGAAAGAGAAAACCAAACCCGGTATATCACTCACCTTGATGTGTGGGTTGGAGAGAATACGCCGAAGCAACGAAGAGGGACGAAGTGGGAGGTGGGAGGGAGGGAGGGAGGCGGGATGTATATGAGAAAAGGAAGGATGGAAGAGCGAAGAAGCGTCTCACTGCAGAGAGAGAAGGACTGGATTAGAAAAGCACAAGCAACAGCGTTGGTGAAGGGAAACGATGCAAATTGCCATCGCCTGAGTGGCCAGTCAAGCGTCCGTGAGACCCGCACCCCCAGCGGAGCCGCTCCACGTCCATCTTGCTGTTTGATATCGATTTTAGAGCTATTGGGGGGGATAATACGATAATGCCAACGAGAGAAGCTGCGGAAGGGCTCGAAATTGCTGGCCTCGGTCGACACTAAAACCGGGTGTGGTTGGTTGTTTTCAATGATAAGAACGCCACCATGCGCTGAAAAAAGAAAAAAAGGGACCCCTCCTTGACAGCACAAAAAAAAAAAAAACTTCAACAAACTGGCCGCTGTATTGTGTTAGGGGACCTCCCCGACCTGAGCCGCGGACCAGCGAGCTACCTACTACTACTAAGACCCTTTAGCTCCCCCTCGGCACATTATAACGTCAGTACCTGTAAGCATCAATACCTTGCCGAGTACGGAGTACAAGAGGCAAAAAAGCAAAAGGGCCAGCGTCGAACCGTGAAATTCTTCTCGCTCCAGTCTGCCGATGGGGCGCAAGCCAAAACCCTCGCCCGATGTCGCAGCCAGCCAATGAGCGCCCTCAATTCATGCCGCAACTTTTGTCAAAGATGCCGCATCATGCCATGTTACAATTTGCTCTGTCCGGCTTCGTTCCGAAATCGATTGCGGCTTCTGACTACATACCGAGTACTAGTAGCTTTTGCCGTGATAAATACCGTACCGTACTGTACATCAATTACATTCTCACACGCCTCGTAGCTGCGAGCAACGGCGCTGAATTCCATCCCAGACCCTCTATTCCTCTGCCCCCAGACAACCAGACCACAGCTCGCATCTCATCATCCCACGGCTCGAGGTCGTCATCCCGCTCCGCTGCCTGATTTGGTCCAGCCACCGAGCGGACAGCCGAGATAGCAGGCATTCCGCTGCGAGCGAGCCGTGGGGCGCCTTGATGGGACGGGCTGGCAACGATTACGATTCCAGGTACAGTAGCCTCGCTTTGCCTCGCTCACGCTTGTGCCTGACAAGACAAACAAGGACCCTGAGAGGTGAAAAAAGCCGCCACTCTTGTAGGCCCGAGCGATTGGTTGGATGCACAGCGTTCTTTAAGTGGGCAGTGTCGCAGAGGCTTTCTGTTTGCGGTATGCGTCGGCGAGCCACGTGGGGTCCGGCCTGTCAACTACCGGTCCCTGGATTTCCCGCACTCCATGAGTCTTGTGTGCCTGTCATCAATATGCCTCCATTACTCTATTCTCGACGTCTTCAAAGGCTGGTTAGAATCGTGTGGGATGGGCATCAGACCAAAATCTAGCCCCATTCGGCGATTCTCGTTTCACAATGCACAAAGGTCTTGGTCTAGGGAAATCGGCCGTGAAATCATGCGTGTTTGTAGTGGCCTTGTTCCCTTTTCAACGGCGGGACTGACCGTCTGCGGTCCCCGTTGCGAGCGAAAATACAAATTCCAGACAATAAAACAAAGAAAAAAATCCTCCATACCACTCGCGGCTCGCATCCAAATTTGTCTGCTAGCAAAATATGCCGCTCCTTATAGTGTCCAGCAAATGCGTATAGTACAACAACCATCCGCCATTTGAACGATGAAAACATCCTAATTTTGACGCCCCCCCTCCAAAATGCCTATAAAAACCTGACATAGGCGGCCTGCAACATCTGTCCAAACTCCCGATACCCGTCCTTGGCCTTGTCTAGTTGAAATCGGCAGCCCCTTGAGCCTCCGTATTTGGCTCCGGGTGAGCCTCGTAGAAATTCAGGTATCTGATCTGGGCTTTGCGCTTGCTGGCTTCATCGAGCTCGCCAAGGGATGCTCCGTTCTCCTTGGCGACACTTCCACTCTTGGGCGCGGTCGAGATAGACGCAGGCCTATGAGTAAGTGTTAGCTGGATTCCTTCGGTCTCTTGGGGGGTCGCATGCTGGACGGACCCAAACATCTGTCTGTCCACGGCCAAAAACTCCTTCATGGCGTCCTTGCCGCCGCGCTGCATCAAGTAATTCATGTAAACTTGGGCCAGCTCCCGTTTGACGGGGTTGGGCAGCCGGCTTCTGCTACGGAACTCGTCAAAGACATGCTTGACGCGCTCAGTCTGGTCCATTTTGCCTTCCTTGCCCTCGGGGCTTTGCTCAAGTTCTAGCTGGAACCACTTGTCCCAGAAAATCCTGGAATCAGCATACCACTGCACGTTCTTGAGGAACACTGCTCGGGCTTCTTCAGTAGAGTTCTTGCCCTTCCATAGCAGCATGGCCCACTCGGCCACCAGTGCAGCCTTCGCGTACAAGTCAACGGTGGGAGCGTCAATCTGGTCCTTGAGGACCTGAATGGCAGCTTCGGCGCCGTTCTGACGACGCTCGAGGTTAGCCCAAGAAACAATGACTTCCACGCAGTCTGGGAGCTTCATGAGGATAGCGGCGTGGATGTCAAGTGCAACGCCCACGCGGCCGCAGCTCTCCTCAAAGTAGGCCCACTGCATGCGAATGCCGGGCCGGCTAATGGGCACAAAGAGTGTCGACGCACGAATGTAGATGTTGCGGACTTCCTCGTCCTTCCCGGGCTGCTCCGCCATCCAGCGGGCGTACCGATACCAGAACTCGTCGTAGAAGGCGCAGGTGACGAGACATCGTTCATACAGGGACACGATTCTGCTAAAGTCACCCTCGGTCTCCTCAAAGTCCAGGTACTTGCGCCAGTTGTTGAGCTGGCTGTGCTCGAGCTCCGTCACGTGAAAGTACGGTCGCTTGTTTTCAGATTCGTACGTCCAACGCTTTGATACTTCGTTCTGTGTCTGGGTGAAGACCTCGTAGTACATGGCATCAATCTTGGCTCGAACATCCCTTTCAATCTCCAACTCCGGTCGCGGAGCACCGCCGTAGGCTGCCGCTTCAGCCGAAACCTCGGCCTGGAATTTCGACAGCGTATCCGCCGGCACAACCTCCGCTAGAGGCTGGGTGTGCGACAGGTTTCGGAACCGCTCATAGTAGCGAGCATACTGATGCAGGGGGATGCGAATGATGCGAGTATGGATAGCAAAGATGCGGTCTTGGGCCTCTTGCCGTTCTTCGTACTCAATGTACTTGTCCCAAAAGGGGTGAGCAAGGAAATCCAGCCCAACAAAAGTAGCTCCGCGCTCAAAAAGCCTGCAAGGTCCTGTCAGCAAGACAAATTCCATCGGGGGTAGGGTTAGGCGAATATGGGAACAGAGAGGGTCAGTACACAAAGGGGTGGTGGCCATTTGGGAGTGCAGAAATCGAATTCTACGTCCCTTTGAGGGGACGACGGTAGGAGCACGACGCAATGTTTATGGGACGAAGAGTACACATCAACAAAGTCTGGGATAAAGAGTGAGAGATAGATCCCGCTAGGATAGGGGCCGCTGTGGCATATCTCACCATCAGACACGGTCGATAGTGAGCAGCAGAGCTCGTGACAGGTGGGCAACCGAAATCATGGTGCTTGAGCGCGGTACTGCATTGGTAGAAGTCGTTATGGGGAAGGAAAATGTGCCCTGAATACTTACTCTCTGACCAGCGTGGGGTCATGTGTCGTCTCCATTTTGAAAGAGCAGTAGTCGGTCCAGAGATCGACCGAGTTGGTTATGCTGGCACAACCTCGCTCATAGACCTAGGTTTGGCGTGTCGTTAGCGGTGTTGTCGCAACGACCACAAGAAAAGGGAGGAGAGCAGCGCACCATTTCAGCCGACTCCGGTCCAGCAATATTGAATTCGAGATCAGCATATTTCTTCCAGTACCCAAAAAAGAGCGGGAACTTGAGCAGAAGTCGGTCGTAGGCATCGCGGACGGTGGACAGCGCCTGAGGGCTCGAGTTTCGGTTGAGGCCGCCGTCGAGAGCTTCGCAAGCCTTGATCAGGCCCTCCCAACCCTCAAAGTTGTCTGGGTTCGCCTCCTAAGCCGGGTTACTCGGTTAGCAGTCAGATGGTACGGGCCAACATGAGACAGTTGGGCGGCAGCGACCGATGGACGGAGCAGGCTGACATACCGTTTCAGCAACGAATTTGCGAACCGACGCGTACTCCTCCTCGGAGCCGCCAAAACTGTTGAAATCGCTCATGGAAGGATAGTGTGAGGACGCGATTGAAGGCGAGACAAAACAGATACAGGCGTCAAGCAGGTTCCAAAGCGCAGTTTAGAGCTGTTGCAAGCGCAAAGTGTAAAGGTGAATGGTGCAAAGCTGGAGGGAGAGCAGCGTTTCGAGAGAGGTAGGGGCTTGAAGGCGAGGCTGGGGAGGCCCGCTCTGATTGGTCCGAAAATCCCCAAGGAGCACGGGAGTCAGCAAGATCAACAGGTACTTGTTGCCCAGGTCACGCGGCTCGTATCGGCGGTGGGGCTCGCAACGCATTGCCGGAGCAAAATTACCTTGCGCGCAGGTACTGGCGTGTGCTTGGCAGCAAATCAGCGTGAAGAAAAGCTTGGTAGCGCTTTGCTAGCGTGCGTTGCTGAGTAAGCTGCCGAGGAACAAATTTTATTCACAACGGGCGATTTGCAAAATCCTTTTTTCCTTTTCCATACATGGCCAATGATGATTCCCAAATTAAATTATGATAGGAAGAGAATGAACGCTCTCCATTCATGGCGAGCATGATCTCAAACAGAATCTGAG